GAGTTTCTCAATTTTAAAACCGACTGAATAGCTCATAGCCATCCACTGATGTTGATAAAGTACTGCTTGAAAGTCATCTGGTCCTGGCACTTTAAAAGGCCCCCTTAAAAACAATGCATTCTAAATTTTATCCCTCCACAAACTTTAAAGCTAATCGTGGGATAAGTTGATAAGTCGATCAAGCCATTAGATCGAGTACGCCTTCGCTCTTCTACTATGTACAGGTTCTAGAAATTGGAGACAACCAAACTTCACACTCAAGTGACCACAAATTGAAAATATCATCTTCCATCGGAAATCCTGACAACACGTGTCTTGATAAATGCCTACGCATTTGCCCGCAGATTGCAGGGATGACACTGCTCGGGACAGGCTTGCATCTTTGCCTGTACATAATTGCAGGGTCACTTTCGCACTTGCCAGCGAGTGCATGAGCGATGTGAATGCGCCAACACCGGCAAGACCTTCAGATTTCGATCGGGTACAAATGTTGATTAAATGGACCTATTTGATATTTGATGAGGACAACATGGAGGAAGCACATGGTGGGGGCAGCCAAGGAGGAGAGAGTAAAATCTTGCTAGATTCGGAGGTGTAAAAATGTTTCATTCTGGAACTCATGAGTTCTTAAGTCTTTTTAGACATATATCCAAGCATCCTAAAAAAAATTTAAGATTGAAGCTATTAATCACGATAACTCAATGAGTCAAAAAAGACTCTTGGGAATTATCAAATTCCATGAATTGAGATCGATGGAAGATCGAATTCGTTCTCCGATAGCTTTAGCTTTGATTATACTCCACTAAACTTTTGTTTTAGAAAAACATAGTCCAAAAATTTTGTTGCAGATTTTTTAGATCAGACTCCTTCCATTTGAATCAAAAGTGAGCTTCCTCCATTAGCTCCAGAGCCCGGGGAAGAAGAGAAAATTAAGTGGGATCCACTGTCTAACTCCTACATTATCAAAAGAAAAGAAAGGCATTTCGTATAGATGCATGCGGGCCTCAACTATCAAAGACCTTTGTTCCTTCTTCACCACAAAACATTAAGGAACTAAAAAGGAAGATTTTTCAAATGACTTTTCGGTAGGTCATTGAACTAAAAAGCCGTGGGCCCGTTTCGCTGCAAAATTGGTCAGTAAGGATGCTTCCTCGCAACATCGCTCCAGCCTGTCAAAGTTGACGATTATCATGAATGCAGAAATTTTGGGATCAGAATCAAATGCCTCAAATAAATGTTGCAGTCATTCGAAGTCAAGTCACCAAAAGCGACATCAAACTTCCAAACGGTTTCGTTTCCCCTATCTTAATTAAGGTGAACTCCGAGCAGTCCAGTTCAATGGACTGATTGGGCCCAGGCCCGAATTGACACCGAAACATAAAGCCCAGTCGACTAAACTACCACAATGATGTAAATGAAAAGCCATTAGTTTCTTCAAGCCACTCAGATCGTCCAATATGCTTAATTGGTTGAGTTCGTTCAGCTCCAAAGTTCTAAGACTTTTCAGACTGTCAAGGCTTGGAATTTCTGTAACTGCACAGTACTCAATTACAAGTTCTGATAGTTTCTTCAAGTTTGATAGGTCTATCAATGTATGCGTTGACTGGCAATGTCTGATTCGTAAGGGCAATAAACTTGAGGGAAGCCTTGGGAGGCACCGCAGACATTCATTAGACAGTTCGAGTCTCTTGAGATGAGAAAGCTATGCAATATCTAGTGGTATGGTGGTCATCGTCGAAGAGGACAACTCTAAAGACTCCAATTTGTTTAACCTATCGATCCACCGGGGGGTAGAATCTTCCATAACCTTTGACGGGTCAACAGGGTGAGGAGACTTTCAGCTTCCCAAAGACTAATCTCTCAAGCTTTTCAAGTTTGAGAGATTGGAAATGCCATTATCAACTCGGTATGAATATGCAGACATATAAGACTTTCTAAAAGCCTTGGTAATTGGTGTATCTGAGTACGTCAGTTTCAAAATCTTCCGAGATGAATATATCCAGATATTCTTGGAATTTCTATTGGCAAATTCTTACTAAGCTCCGCATCTATTTCTTCTAGCCTTTCCAGCTTCCATACTGCACTCTATATCATTCTTATGGCAGAGAAGCTCATCTACAGTACTTTCGAATGCTTCATGATCCCGATCGAACCAGGCAGCTCTTCTATGTCCATGGTCGACATATCCAACTCAGCAAGTGATTCCAAATTCCAGATTGAGTCTGGTAGCATCTTTATCAATTTGCAGTTTCTCAAAGACTAGTGCTCAAGGGTTATGAGGTATCCAATCGAGTCAGGAAGCTCCACGATCAAGCGTTCTCTCAAACATTCCATTTAACCAGGCTCCTTTGGGAGGTGGTGGCGATCAATCTATCTAGATTCACATGTACCTGAAATCCAGCATCTAACAGCACCATTTCAACATCGAAAGGTCCGCCCGATCTAACTGATACGAGGTCATACAATAAATCCCTTTTAAGGCAGGAGTCCACGTCAGACTTTCCCTTCCATCTTGGTGGTTTGTAGATGCATTTTCCCCTTTAAAGATAGAGATTGTTGATGCTCGTCCCTTAACACCAGCATGCGAACCGAACAAAGTCAACGCCTAGCAAGTTTTTTTTTTTTTTGATCGAATAAACCTCATTTCATTTTAATTAGCTAAAGTAGGATAACAATCCAACGGGACTTCTGAACAAAGAACATCCAACAAAAGTCAACGCCTAGCAAGTTAGTCGACATAACTTTCCCTCAAAAATCACGCACCCGATTACCAATTAGGCGGGGGTTTATACCGTTAGCTCTTACAATACTTTTTGTTCGTTTGAATTCCTCCGAGAGTTACCAATCATTTCACGTTCACGCTAATAAATGGTTCGTAGCAGCATCATTATTTGGACTGCCCTCTCCCGTGATCTCACTTGCGCTTAAGACTTCTCTAGAAGAAGCCTTTGAACAGAACAGCAGAAACAACAACCAGACAGACAGACTCTCACCACATAGGTCAATCGTTCGTTGAGCTGCAGCTGCTCCTACTCGGAGCCGTCGGACAGGGCCTCGTCCGACGACGCCTGCTGCTTCCGAGGGTCTCGCCACAGCGGAGATCGACCGTTCGACCGATCAAGGTCATCACTGCTTGCTCTAGGGAGAGAGAGAGAGGCCGAATCAGAATCAGAAGTGACGATTGGCATTAAAAAGGGGAGGAGGAGAGAGTCGGAATCAGAAGGTCGTTTGATCCGGGGAGGAGAGAGTTGTCTCTCGCTGTTTTTATATTGTGGGGGGAGTGGTTTTTGCTTTGGTATTTTTTTTTTTTCATTTTCCGTTTTATGCGAGTGGTGCGAAAATTTCCCACCAGTCCGAATGTATTTGAATCTAGTGTGGGCTCATGTGCAAGATGGACCCGCGGCTCGAAAATTTTCCGCCTGAGTCCCGATGGGTTGCAATTTTTTTTTGTTGATAAATCAAAAAGTGAGAAGAAATCATCAATATGATTATCCATACTTGTTATCATAAAGTGTTATATTCGTTATGGAATGTCTTATCTGAGCCATAATCACTCAGTCCATTTACAAGTATATGAATTTATCATCATAACTAATATGTTAAAGGCTTGAAAATCCTTTCACATAACGTTGCGCACACCTAAAAATACTAACCGATCAGAGGTTCGCTCACGACATGATTTCAACCAGTGAATTAATGGAAGATAGTGTGATCCCTTCATCATTTGGGTTATCATGCTTGGGTTCGGATTGCGACTTTCTAATGTTCAAATTTTTTTTTCTTCTTTTATAGTGAAAGAGCGATGCATGAGCCTGATCAAAAAATGATTCTTCCATAAATCTGTTCTATGCTTATAAAATTTGACTTAAGTCGAACGAAGGATTGATGTGTTTATAATTTGTATTACCTATAAAGGAAGAGATTTGAAGATTGATCTCCACAAAATTGATTAATTTACTCTCCACAATAATTTCTCTTGAATTTCACTTTTTCTTAACTTCCACCTTTTGTTTCGTGTACTAGTTTTTCTGTGCTTTTATAAACATTTGACTATGAATATAAATCTGTGAGAGCCACCAAACATCACGCATACCGCACATTTGGGTTCTTGTTTTATTTTGTTTGTGTGAGCTAACTGCGATATATAAAAATAATAATTCATTCGCACTCTTTGGTATTTTTTTTAAACGACATTCGTAACTTTTGTTGTGTGAGGTTACAAACTTTGTTTTTTACTTCAAACATAGCCGGTGAAAAAGGTCCAATGACTTTTGTTCTCAAAGATTATAGACTTTTTCTTTTATTTAATAATCTTTTATGTGTAAAGTGTAGTATTCAATCCCGATAATTGTACGACTCATATATCAACCGAGCAATTGTGGGATGACAATGCCATCGTCTTCTAAAACGGTGATCAGTCCAATTGTATTCACACTATAAATATTTTTGTAAATTTTAGATAAGCGATTCAACTCAAAATATTGGAGGTACATTTATCTGAGAAAAAACGTAGGAAATATTGGATCCAATTCAACATAAGTATTCCGAGAGTATTCGAGAATCGATACACAATAGCAAGTTGCCTTCTCGAACTCTCTCTCTCAACCCATGAGAAGTGGGTTCCATAATTCACAATTAACCTCAACTCGTCGGTCACTTGAGTTTGAACGACTCGAGTCATTATATCGATTCGAGCATGAATTTGAAAAATTTAATTCGAGAGAGCTTGCGACCATAATGGGGTAATTGCATTTTCACATACCTCCACGAATATAAATGAACAGATAAATAATATTAACTTTAATTTAGAATATTTTTTAGAATTTAGTTTGAACCAACTAATTGAACCAAGCCGACTCAAAGTGCTAATGTGTAGAAATCAAAGGGAAGCTCCAAAGGAGGGGTGAAGATAGGACCCAAAATTTTCCAAAAAAAGCACGTCTCATTCTCTCAAGGCTAAAACACAACAGAAGACCCCGCCGGGCAATCTTTCTAAACGTCCCGATTTTAGAAGAAGAACTTCCTTGAATGGCCTGACGCAAACGACGAAATCACCCAATGTGAAGCCGAATATGCCCGCCAACAGAAGAAGATCCCGAGGGCAGATCAGGAAAGATCGCAAATCCGTCGTCCTATCCTTCGGTTTCTGTTGCAGGATAGGGAGCGGCGGAACGGGTCGTGGTTGAGGGGCGGTGGTTGTTCTGACAATGCTTGATTGCCGCAAGTGGAGGCCGAGAAGTAAATTGCAATTCGCGTTCATGGCATCACTTGCTACTGCTCTGATTCTCTCTGATCGGGAGTTTTGATAGTGAGAAGGCGCGAATAGACAAAGGCGCTGGGATTGAGTACGTCGTGTTTCGAGCTTGGACGGTAAAATTTGTATTGTGAATTGTGCGGATTAGGTGTTTTAGGGTTGGGGGAAATCGTTGACTGTGTTGTGGAGCCGTAGTGTACCTGATTGAATGGGGGCAAGCTATACCTCTGGTGTACAATTGGATGCTTTCAAAGCATATAACTGACGTGCGTTGAGTTGTATTTGGTTGATTCTGTTAAGCCCTTAGATTACCGAGTTTGGATCGATGCTATGCTTTCCTTATATATGTTCGATGCAAATCTCATTCTGCTGTTTCTACTCTGGGAATAAAATTTGTTGAGTGCTCACAGTGATTGAACATCGGCTATTCAGCTTTAGTCCAGTTGAGTAATGGACTGTAGTCCAAGGTCTCACAAAGCTGTTTACAATCACACTCATGCCGCGATATTGGTGGAGTATGCATCTGCCATAAGTGTTCTTTAACAAAAAATTCACATTTGCCTAAAGCTTGTTGTTGTTACGCATCAGGTTTCACCATTTCAATACGATAAAATTTTAATTTAAAGCAAAGCTTTTATTGCGGGTTTACATGTCAGATTTGACTGAACTTTTTAGCTAGACATGTCCTAGATGTGATGGAAAGACCATGGTAATTTGACTACATTCTTATATAGCATTGTTGCTAAGGTTGCGTGAATAATGGATCTCAGTACTCAATAGCCAATTCTTGAGATGAGATTTTGTGGGCATATGCTGCCTTGTCTTATGAGCTTCTGAACTGGTTATTAATGCCTTCTTGATATGAAAGCTGGGGTTCGAAGTCATTGAACTGATAGTTGATGTCCAGCACTGCTTACAGGTATACAATTCGTGTTACAGTGGCCTATCAATTTAGATGCTTGTGATGCCTCTATGCTTGAATTGTATCTAATTGTTTGTCTCTATTTCTAAATCCTACACCTGTAGGCATATGTTGGGGGTGGCCAAGGACCTTAATGCTATGATTATAGCTTTCAGAGGTACTCAAGAACATAGGTATGCATGTTAACTTTAGCAATTCTTCCCCTCACAATTGACATGCCAAGGATTTGATGAAAATTTAAGCTAAGAAGAGCAGCCTCAGTGAAAGTGTACACAAGGCACATGGGTCTGCTGTCCATTCGAACGGAAAAAGGGTGAATCATTTCCACCAAGACAAGAAAGTTACTTTCTTGTAATTTTAGATGGAGTCGTGAGGAGATCACATACTTCACTAATTTTATTCTATGAAAAATTCTATCACGTCTCTTTATAATTTGAGCTTTTCAGTTAGTGATTACTTCTATTTATTGTCTATGGCATACGAAATTGGGTTGAAGATCTTTACTGGAAACAGCTTTACATAAACTACCCTGGCATGCCTGGTGCCATGGTAACTTGGTAAGTTCTAGAGATGATAAGCCTCTTGCAACCTGTGAATACTTCTGATTTGGATTGAGTTACAGTGTTACTCTATTGATTGTTGCTTGGGTTCATCTTGGATTTTATTATGCTTATCACAATACGACAATTCAACATGGTGTTTTGGATGTTGTCATAAGTTCCAAGGATTTATATGGAGACATCAACGTCATGGTGACTGGGCATTTTTTGGGAGGGGCTATGGAATCCTTTTGCGAACTTGATCTTGTGGTAAGACAATTGAAAATTTGTTGTGGTTGTGACTTGTGAATTTTATTGGTTTCTTTTCTATCTTGTTCTTCCAACTGTTCAGTTTTGGTTTGTTTGGAGTTATTCGGAATTCTTTGCCAATTCTATCTTGAAGAGTCTAGTAGATCTTGAACTTTCTAGGGCTCTCATATTTATATATACAATTCGTCATTCATAGCGTCTTGTTTTCTTACGTTTTGGTAAATCAACCCATAGACAAAACACAAGCAAAATGGGGTGCAAACAGCCCTTCACGCGAATTACCAATTGTTGAAGTATCTAGTTGTGTGAATTGAGTCATATATGTTAAGCTTTGGAGCTTCAAGTTGGTTGAATACTTAAATGTAGTGGATAAAGACATCCAACTATTCATTAAAAAGTTTACTTGCTGGAAACTTTATGAGATTGTTGATATGTTTATGGTTCAGACATATGACTTTTTTAGGCACTTGAAGCTGAAATTTTGTGTCATGTAATCTTAAAAGTGCTAATGCATTTTAAGATGGATTATCGATTCTAAATTGGTGTTCCATGCGCTGTTTCTGTCTGTCTTTCTCTAATCAAATGAAGCAGCTTCTCTTCAGTCGGACTACGGGGCCAGATACGTTGTAGGCTGGGGCCAATTTTAAGATGTTTAAATTATGCCTTTTGTCTCAGCTTTGTTGGACAGAGTGGTCCAGTGTACTTTTCTAGGCACCTGTTGCGGAATTGGTACCAGAAATGGTACCCACCCCAAAGTCATGTCCCATTGATTCTCTTCTCCATGACAAGTAGTGATTGTTTTAGAGTCAAACATTCATGTGGCCTGTGATAGGATCATAAGTTGCATAAACTATAGACTGTACCTTTTCTCGAGGTATTAGTAGCAAGTTTAACATCTTGTCCTAACACAAATGATTTAAAATTTTACTTTTTTTTTTTCTGGTTTCTTGCTGAAAATTGGTCTAAGACGATTGTGACATCATGCCCATGCGTCGTGGCCCTTTTTTTGATTTAGTTTCTCCTTTGCTATTTATGACAGTAAGTTTTGGAGTTCAAGGGGCATTTTCACTATGAACCTGGAATTTTTTGTTGAAGTCATTAGCAGGATGTGACTCACGCCACCAACATCCAATTGTTTCTTGTGGCAGCATTTAAATGCACCTTGTCTGTAAATTCACCCCTCAATCCTACTATTCCATATTATTAACACCTTTTCTTGGGGCTGAGGGTGGGGTTGGTTTTATTGTGGGTGTGGGGTTTGGTGTTGGGAAAATTATGGATGGGATCTTGACAAAGTATCGCTAGACCTTCAACCCTCATGGAGAGAAAGGGCTGTTCTATTGTTCAACATTGTATGTGAAATGCGAGATATGGTTATTGATGCGTAGTGTTTTTTTTCGGTCCCGAAAGGGCCATTGATGTATTAACATTCAAATTATTTGGCTGTCTAATTATGTGTGCTGAAGCTGTTTTTTCCAGACCAGCATTCGCTTGGTTTACTTATATAACTGGTGACACTTCATTTCCAGGTCAATCATGAAGCACGGAAAGTTCAGCTTTTAACATTTGGACAACCTCGTATTGGCAATTCAGCGTTTGCGTCTTACTACAGTGACCGTGTGCCAAATACAATACGTATTACTAATGGACATGATATTGTGCCCCATTTGCCTCTGTATTATTCTTGGTTCCCACGGAAGACTTACCATCACTTCCCAAGAGAGGTAAGGCTTTGATTTTGACAGAATATCATATAATTTATGGGGAATTATCGTGGATTGAATTTGATGTTTGCTTTGCATTTCTTTCAACCTATCTAACTGGTGAAGTCTCATTTATTCCAACAATGTATGTACTCTCTTTTTTTAGCATATAAAATATTACTGTCTTGTTTTTAATCTTCTTAGCAAAGCAGGATAGTTAGTAGTACTCATGACTTTTCAGAAATGTTTGAGTAACTCTCATTCCTGCAAGAGCCATCATGAGTTTTTTTGTACCAATTCCAAAGTTTAAGACAGCGTAATAATGTATGCTTTATACTCTCTCTGTCTCTGTCTCTCTCTCTCTCTCTGATGGCTAATAACCTAGTCTTAAGCTCTGTGCAATTATACGCATTTTAATTATTGTATGTCTACTAATGCTTATAATGATTGGCCACTAGCTCAATGACAGCCACGGATAAACATATTGATGTGAGATAATGTGAAAATGATTTGATTCCACCTGCTTCTCTGGCCACTAATCATAATCTTTTCCATGTCAGTGTTAACATGTAATTGGAATGTTCCCCTTGTTGCAGGCATGGCTGTATAATATAGGATTTGGTAGTCTGGTTTATCAGGTCGAGAAAGTTTGTGATAGCTCTGGAGAAGATCCATCATGCAACAGGTAATGAAGTTGCTTCAGTCGTAGCTACTTGGTCAAGCAATTAGTTTGTGGATTTGTCATGCTAGATGCAATAAGTCATGGGACAAACCAGCTTGTTCTAGAGAATGTTGGTCCTTTGTTACCAGGAATATATATGGATGACTAATGAGAGTGCGTCTCTGCAGATCGGTAACTGGTAACAGCATCACGGACCATTTAGTCTACTATGGTGTGTGATTAATGGCTGGGATGTAGGGTTCGTGCAAAATCATCATGGACGCACAATTGAAGGAATATGGAGCTGAAGATGTCAAAGGAAATCTTATGCTTTCCAGGAATCCTTCTGCTTCTGCATTGAGGCTGCCTTCAGACTCCGATGGCAAGAGCAATTTCAGTTAAAATGCTCCTGGGTCAGTACCTGGTTTCTCAAAGATCATAAGGGACCTTTGTGATTACGGTCATGAAATGCATTCCATCAATCTGTTGTCCATATCCATCACAAGATGCATAAGCACCCTACTCAAATTCACTCCGAATGTAAATAGCATGAAGTTGAATGTGTCATCCTTGTAAATACAACTCCGTGACTTCTATTGAATGAATGCGTTTGCAAGTTTACCTGTCAATCTAATCTTGAGCCTGTGGCTTTTGTTTACCAGACTTGATAAAACCTAGTAAGGATGTGTGGATGCTGAGCTGAGCTATTTATAGTTGAATCATGTAGCTATTTTCCTTTTTTTTTGGGGGGGGGGGGTGTTTGAACTTGTATTGAGCTTCACAATTTTGGCAGATGTGTGGACTTTGGAACTGTGGGACTTGCACGGTTAGGCAATTAACCGGTTTTATAGGGTGAAACAAAGAGTGCCTTGGGAGACCACTTCTCAGTCTGTGTGACCTTACCTTCTACTATAGGCACATTGCCACTAGCTAAGGACGGAATTGTTGCAAAATTTGTGGATCTCCGCCGGCTCAGTGAATGTGTACACAAGGCACATGGGTCTGCTGTCCATACGAATGGAAAAAGGGTGAATCATTTCCGCCAACACAAGAAAGTTCCTTTCTTGTAATTTTAGATGGAGTCGTGAGGAGATCACATACTTCACTAATTTTGTTCTGTGAAAAATTCTGTCACGTCTCTTTATAATTTGAGCTTTTCTGTTAGTGATTACTTCTATTAATGTATACAGCATATAGAATTGGGTTGAAGATCTCTACTGGAAACAGCTTGACATAAACTACCCTGGCATGCCTGGTGCCATGGTAAGTTCTAGAGATGATAAGCCTCTTGCAACCTGTGGATACTTCTGATTTGGATTGAGTTACAATGTTAGTCTATTGATTGTTGCTTGGGTTCATCTTGGATTTTATTATGCTTATCACAATACGACAATTCGACTTGGTATTTTGGATGCTGTGATAAGAGCCAAGGATTTATATGGAGACATCAACGCCATGGTGACTGGGCATTCTGTAGGAAGGGCTATGGCATCCTTTTGCGGACTTGATCCTGTGGTAAGACAATTGAAAAATTGTTGTGGTTGGGACTTGTGAATTTTATTGGTTTCTTTTCTATCATGTTTGTCCAACTGTTGAGTTTTGGTCTGTTAGGAGTTATCCGGAATTCTCTGCCAATTCTACCTTGAAGAGTTTAGTGAATCTTGAATTTTCTAGGGCTCTCATATTTATATTTACAATTCGTCATTCGTAGCATCTTGTTTTCTTATGTTTTGGTAAATCAACCCATAGACAAAACGCAAGCAGAATGGGGTGCAAACGCCCTTCACGCGAACCACCAATTGTTGAAGTATCTAGTTGTGTGAATTGAGTCGTATATGTTAAGCTTTGGAGCTTAGTGTTGGTTGACTACTTAAATGTAGTGGATAAAGACATCCAACTATTTATTAAAAAGTTTACTTGCTGGAAACTTTATGGGATTGTTGATATGTTTATGGTCTAGACATATAACTTTTTTAGGTACTTGAAGCTCAAATTTTATGTCATGTAATGCATTTTAAGATGGATTATCGATCCTAAATTTGTATTCTGTGCGCTGTTTCTGTCTGTCTTTCTCTAATCAAATGAAGCAGCTCCTCTTCAGTAGGACTATGGGGCCAAATACATTGTCTGTTGGAGCCAATTCTAAGATGTCTAAATTATGCCTTTTGTCTCATCCTTATTGGATAGAGTGGTCCAGTGTACTTTTCTAGGCACCTGTTTTGGAACTGGTACCAGAAATGGTATGCGCCCCAATGTCATGTCCCATTGATTCTCTTCTCTATGACGAGTGGTGATTTTTTTAGAGTCAAATATTTATGGTAGCATCATTGGTTGCATAAACTGCAGACTGTACCTTTTCTCAAAGTATTAGTAGCAAGTTTAACATCTTGTCCTAACACAAATGATTTAAAATTTTACTTTTGTTTTCTGATTTCTTGCTGAAAATTGTTCTTAGCCGATTGTGACATCATGCCCATGTGTTGCGGCCCTTTTTTTGAATTAGTGCGATTCTGAAGAGATGGGAGGAGCAATCGAGTGGCTTCGGTGACTAAAATAAAATATCAAAAAGAATTTCGCTCTCGTTGTTTTTATGTTTTTGAATTGTAATAATCTTGCATCTGTGGAGTTTACTTAGCGCCGAAACTGACCGCACGGTGTGAAATGTATCTTTGCATTGGATTTTCGGACAACACCGTGTCGCCGTAAATGCCCACGCACTTGCCCCCAAATTGCAGGAATGGCACTGCACGGGAAACACTTGCGCCTTTGCTTGTAGGTAATCGTAGTGTCACTTTCAGGGTTATGGTGTCCAGTTGGGGCTATTTTGGAGAAAAACCCCACCCCCTGGTCCGGCCATACGAGTTGTTCCTGTGATTTTCTGGAATCTTTAGATCATCAAGTGCATGACTGCATGCCTCTTTTTGCTGCTGCAAAAATACCCAATTGCCCTCATGGCGAGGAAGTTTATCTGTTTATTATGTTTTTAAGCAGGGCTGAGGGTTGTCTCTCTCTGATGCTCCAAAAATCGAGCAAATCAACCCGAGTGGAGCTCCGACGCTGCGGTTGTGGAGGCGGCTTGCCTCACGTAACCACGTATCTATGGCCGTACGAGGCTAGCGACCTCCGTTGGAGTGAATCGACGGCGGTCGCGACTTCCATCGACATAAGTCGTGAGCTCTGAACGGAGATATAAAGAAACGAAGGTGTGGCAAAAGACTCAAACGGGCGAGGAGTTACCGTCGCTAGGGGATCGACGCACGAAGGTGAGGGCTCCTGATGGCGATGGGTCATGTCGTCAAAATCTCAAACTTGTACCAGTACCTTCGTCAAAGTGCACTATTCAGTAAAATTTGGACGTGTCCGTTTGTGTGGACACCGATTGGCAAACGAAGCTAACTGGGCTTGAGAAAATTCCATTAAAAAGCCTACATTTTACCCAGTGTGACACTGATGCCTCAATTTTTCGTGTTATCAATTTTTCCAAACTTGTCCTGGTGTCCCAAAAATAGCTACCTTTACAATTCTGTCCCTACGTGGCGGCTTGCGTAGATAACGACAGGTGAATAGAGCTGATGTGGATCTAACGTGACTTTAGTCTAGTCTAGAGTGACTTTGGACAACTAGTCAAAGTTTAAGTTTTTATAAAAATAGATTTACTATCATAAAAAATCTCAAACTGGTATGCACATGTCATATTTTCATAAAAAACTCTCGAACTAGTATATCAGTGTTATACTTACCCCTAATTGGTACATCTATGACATATTTATCTCAAACTGTGGTAAATCTGAGAATTTTTTGGACAATGAGCTATGGCCTCCTATACACAAGAACGTCTCGATTTACCATTACAATACAAATGTTTGACTGCAGAGACTCTGCATCGACTTGACATGAATTATGAAATGTGTTCATTCATTGACAGTCACCTAGGCAAGGTGCATTTCTTTGGAGAAACAGGAATTCATGAAGACATATAGCATAAGGTAATCCCAATTACAATGGTCCTGAGCACCAATCAGGATCTTATCATTCCCTAAATGCGTCCTCTACCATTTCTATTTAGCATCGCAAACATTTTCACAGATTCAAGTAACCTCTTCAGGATCAACATCGCTATTGTCTCATGTTGCTTCCCGCCACCGTAGAACCCTCTTTTTTATTTTTTCGCGTAATCTCTCATCCTTCACGACGGCAGTCCTTGCCTGCATATTTAGAAACTTAGATTAAGGATCGCATTTTTAATCAAAGCTATTCAGAGCGACTGATGGTTCTATACTCTGAAGGCACAACAGCTTTGGTTCAATGGGAGCTCTCATCTCCCACCGTTTGTTAAGCCAAATTGAGAAAAAGTAGGCATATGTAACCGAACACAGTTGTCTTTTTAAAGTGGAATACACCTTTACAGTGCGTCTAGTAGTGATTGCATTTTCATATAATAAGGATTGCTCTAGTGGCTATCCTTCCCATTAGGATGGAGGAGGTAGAGGGTTCGAATTTCCACTTTTTCATGAACTGGTGATGGGAACGTTTAGTTTCAAGTGTAGGGTTTGATTCCCAGATTTTCATATTTTACAAAGAGACAGAACAAAAATTTGAGAGTGAGATGAGAATTAGAGTAGGGCAGATGAAAAAAAAAAAACTAATTCAACTAAGTTGAGTCGAAGTGCTAATGTGGAGACATCAAAGGTAAGCTGCAAAAGAGAGAAGATAGAACCCCAAATGTGAATTTCTAGTGGAACTTCCCTCAGTGCCCTCACGCAAACGACGAAATCACTAGGGGTGTCAATGGGTCGGGTCGGGTCGGGTTTCGTGATACCCGACCCGAAACAATGAATATGTGTGATTGGCCCGATCCGAAACAAGACCCAAACATGATATAACCGCGTGATCGGGTCGGATCGGGTCAGGTCGGTTCGGTTCGGATTCGTGTTTTATATTTTTATTATAAATTAAGGTTAAGTTACACAAATGGGTGTCAATGGGTCGGGTTGGGTCTAGTCTCCACGCTACCCTACTCAACCCGAATCATAAAAGATATGTGGACTCTTGACCCGAACCGAAAATGACCCAAAACGCAAAAACCGGGTCGGGTTTCGAGTTTTTTTGGGTTCAAGCTAATATTTGACGATGTTACAATTGCTTGAAAGTTATCGGAATTACCCAACCGCCTCCA